TTAAGACCCTAAAGAATCATATCAACTTGTTGAAAATGGGCATCGGATGACCCCTTTAAATGGATGGATGGATGGGGTCGCCGTGATTTTGCCAAGTAAGACATGTTCCTGGATCAACATCTTTTGTTGATCCTGGATCAGCATTACTGTCCAAAAATATAGACTAAACCCAATCCCTACCCCTAAACCTAACCCTACCCATAATTTATTCCTAAAATCAGTGTGAAATGATAGCTGATTAACAAGGGTGTAGAAGCACCTAACCCTGATCGTAAGCCTAAAACAGATATTTCCTGAAAAGTTATCTCTCAATTCTGATTGGTTAATTGGAATGTTGTTCCAGGATCAACAAGGATGTTGATCCAGGAACATGTTGTACTTGGTGAAATCACGGTCACCGATGGATAGATAGCATGACAGGTGGATGTTATTTGATCAATTGATATTTCTTTTCTCCGATCTCTTCAAATTCAGCAAATCTGCGAGATGGATGATAGATAGAGGGATGGCTTAACGGATGGATGTTATTTGATTTGAACGACTGATATTTTTCCCTGATTTCAAATTCAGGAAGTCTGCAAAGACCCAAAATTCATCACAGGAGGAGCCACCAGGACAGACATCTGTCAGGGGCAGCTGGGTATGTTTTCCTGTCGTTTCAGATTACTCAAATGTTTTATGACAAAATGAAACCCTAATTTGAGCAAAACACTTCTAATGACCAAAGAATAAAATAATGGATCAGTGTTGGGGAAGGTTACTTCTAAAAGTGATGCATTACAATATTGCATTACTCCATGAAAAAGTAGCTAATTGCATTACTTTATATGGAAAGTAATACAATACATTACATTACTTTTGCATTACTTTTTGTCACCTGGGCTGGGCTCGCTTAATTGGTTTTTAATAACAAAAACCCCAAAAGTTATATTTTTGGCAACTTTAAGGGCCCTTTCACACCAAAAGTGAAATTAATACGCTTCAGGCTGAATGATGTGCCTCTGCACTTCACTCACGATTGAAGAGAAGTGTCAGTGAATAAATGGGAGAACAAAGTAATTTGTGTTACTTATTTAAAAAAGCAATTCTGATATTTTGTTGTAAATGTAAAAGTAATGCATTATTTTACTAGTTACTTGGAAAAGTAATCTGATTACATAACTTGCGTTACTTATAATGCATTACCATCAACACTGTGATGCATTAACCCTGATCATATTATGATCTCCATTCATATTGCCCTTCGTGTACGGCCACACAGGAGACTGCTGGTTGTTGGCAGCAATTGCCTCCCTGACCCTCCATGAGGACACACTAAAGCGGGTCGTACCACACGACCAGGACTTTGATCGCGGCTATGCTGGAATCTTCCATTTCCAGGTGAGTCCCTCTCTGTGAACTCTCTCTCTGCAGTTTCCCAATGACCTCGAACCCTAACCAAACTCACCTTGTTGTGCAGTTCTGGCAGCATAATAAATGGATGGATGTGGTGGTGGACGACCGACTCCCATGTGTGAGGAGCAACCTGGTGTTCGTCCACTCCGCTGACAATACTGAGTTCTGGAGTGCACTTCTGGAGAAGGCCTATGCCAAGTATGCACTTGAGTTTACAAAACAAGATACGCCTTGACGTCTTGTCATATCTAGCTTTGAGGCGTCAAACCTGTTTGTGTAAGTCATCTCCTGTGCTTCTCTCTCAGGCTGAACGGCAGCTATGAATCCCTGAAAGGAGGAAGCACCATGGAGGCCATGGAGGACTTCACGGGCGGCGTGGGCGAGATGTACGAGACGAAGAACGCCCCCACAAACCTCTTCCTCATCCTCAAGAAAGCCGTGGAGAGAGGATCAATGCTCGGCTGCTCCATTGATGTAAGCGAAGCTTTGTTGGATTCAAAGTGAGATCAGTAGCCGTTCCTAAATTCCAGATGTTTGTGTTTTCGTATCATTAGATCACAAGTTCTGCTGAATCTGAAGCACAAACCACTACTGGTCTGGTTAAAGGCCACGCTTATTCCATCACTGGAGTGGAGGAGGTAACCACAGCATTTTCATCTCTTTTTTTTTACAGATTCACTCTTTATTTTCTCTTCATTATCTCTTACGTCTTGTCTTGTCTCCTCAGGTCAACTACAGAGGATCAAAGGTCCAGCTGATTCGTGTTCGTAA